GGCACCGTAGCCAGCCCGTGCCCCTTTAAGGGGTCCGGGGCCGGGAGGGGGGCAATAGAGTTTCCCTGGTGTTGGCCAGAGTGGCCAACAGGAAAACCTGGGGCGGGCTAGCCTCCCACTAGTTCTAATTAAGGGACTACACACCCCTTAATTCGAACTAGTAAGTTCGAACTAGGCTTAATCCTCGTAAAATGAGGTTTTCCTAGTTCGAACTAAGCGCTCCGCTAGTTCGATTCAAATTCGAACTAGCGGAGCGCTAGTGTAGCGTCTATGAATGTTAGTTCGCACTAACGTCCGTTAGTGTGAACTAACATTGTAGTGTGGACATACCCTATTAAAGTAGCTTTAATCTTGAAAAATCAATTGAATAATCATTTTCTCGTGGTCACTGACTGATAGGACTTCTCTACACATCTTTATATTCATGTGTTCTGATTTTCTTTTCTCTTGGCTTCCCCAGTGAGGCCTCTATAAGATTTACTCTTCCTCTAAGACATATCCTTCACTCTCACATTTGTTCCAGTGTTTCAGATTGAAAATTTATCTTTGGTTTTCTTCAGTTGCTTTGTAGTTGAGAACTTTGGAATATGAATTTTGATTTAGAAAACTACTATGGTATATTCCTTTTAATTATTTTTAAAGTACAGAAAAGCCAAAAATTTGGGGAGAGTGTTTGCTACTGTGCTTTGAAATGACTGTGTGACATAAGAACTGTATGCTGGAAAGCTTTCAGTTGGAAACGATCCATTATCAGTCTATTGTCCAACGCAGCATTTGGAGAAAGGGATGTCAAGGATAAAAAGATAGATTGATTAAATGGTCTCCAGGCCATCCTGCAAAGAACACAAATGCTGTATTAATAAGGAGTTTATTATAACAAGACTGTTCCTCTAATACAGCTGTCTTGCATGGAGAACATCTGTTGATAATCTTATCCTGAGACTTGATTGTAGCAGGACTGCATTCTGTGGCAAAAAGGTTAGAAGTGGATGCTAGTTGGACTGCATCCTGTATTTCTCACATTCCTTGATAGCCAAGAACTAGACATTCCAGCGATGAAAACAGCTGATATGATACCATATGAACTATTATCATCAAGTTTACCATGAGTTAATTCCATTTTCTACAACTGCAGACAAGAGCATGAAGGCATCACTAGTTTTGATACGCAGCTTCTTCAGAAGTGAAGTAGAGCCTTTAAATATTTAGAATTTCTCTCTATTTCTGTTAGCTTGTCGCATTGCACTTATAATTCATTAGGTTCCAGCATATTCATATTCTGTTTTCTCCTCTTCTTAAAATATACTCATTTTATTGTCACTTTATAGACCTCATTCGTCTGTGATTGCTCTCCCATTCACTAATTATCTTGTCTGTCCACATAACATGGAGAATATTTGTTGATGCTCCAATATCCAGCTAGTAGCTTCACGTTGACGAGGCAACTATAAGCAAAATATGACTTTGATATGGAGTAAAGTTATTGTACTAATGTAACATTTGTACCTCAGCTCTTTCAAGGTTTAGCAATATAAAAATTAAAATTGCTCTGTTAAAACTGATGTTTTGAGGCAGTAAAACAAGTTAAATGTGAATTCATCAGTTTGATATGTAAACTTTCTCTAAGTAACCCAAAGCAACCTGTTATGTAATAAGAAATTATTCTTAGGAGTAAGGTAATGTTGTAGTTGACAATGATACAGTTGAGTTCATCCCCAAACTAGACAGTAGAGTGAACTATTAATGCTAGATTAGATTATAGCTGTTCAAGTTTCTACAGCATCACAATATATTAAGAATAGTGGATTGCTCATATACACATGGCATTGTGTCAAATTAAGTCAGCAAAAAACTTAAACTACATAGATTCTTCATTTAGCTAGTCATTATTTGGAGAGTTACAAGCCATTTTTGTGAACATTACCTTTGGGATCTGCATAATGAATGGCTGTTTTTTCGATATAATGACAAGAGTGAGAGTTACAGCATCCTCAACTAAGCAGAGCCTCCTTGTATTTATAAGGAATTTAATACATAAAAACAAAAGCCGCTGGAAGTTACATCATTAACTTCAGGAGGACCCAGATTATCTATACACCGGTTCCATGAAAAATGCCTCATTTGCCATGTGAATTTTTTTTCTTAAAAACTTTGACTCATCCCTGGATAGAGATCTGAGGCAATTGATATTTAACATTTTTTTACTTTAAGTTTTACCAAAAGCTGCTGAATTTGAGGGAGGAAGGGATAGCTCAGTGGCTTGAGCATTGGCCTGCTAAACCCAGTGTTGTGAGCTCAATCCTTGAGGGGACCCCTTAGGGATCTGGGGCAAATCCATCAGGGATGGTTCTTGGTCCTGCTGTAAGGCCACAGGACTGGACTCAATGACCTCTCAAAGTCCTTTCCAATTCTATGGGATAGGTATATCTCTATATATTATTTATTCAGTTTTTAAAAGAGGAACTGACTAAAAAACAAAACAAGCCAGGTCCCCAAAAGTGTGTATATAAAAGATTGTTTAATGCTATTTGGTTTTGACATCAAGTCTTTGTCAGGGGAGGGCAATAATTTTTGATGGGGGCATCACTCCAAGAATTTGGAAAGTGGTCAAGGGCCACACTCCTACATATTAATGGAGGAGGTGTAGGACCTGGGTTACAGGACTAGTGTGTGGGAGGGGTTTGAGCAGTGACCTAGGGAAGGAGGAGGTTGTGGCTTCAGGCAGAGGACTGGTTCAGTGGGTTGGGGTGCAGGGTCTGGGAGGGAATATGGGGGCAGGAGGGAAGCAGAGGGTTTAGATTGTGACTAGGGTTGCCAGATGTCCAGTATTGAACCGGATAGTCTGGTATTTTCACCTCCAGTCTGGTTTAAAAAAAAAAAAATTCAGAAAATACCT